GCTCTCCGTTTTCTATTACCCTTCTCCCTGGAGCTGGCAGTGTGTCGGGTATTGAGGGGACAGAGCTTACCAAATGCTTGAGACATCTTTCAAAGGAAAAACACAAGAATTTAAATGTGCAGTTGCACTTTCACTGGCATCACTAGGATCTTGCTTGGGATTCTTGGCTCCAGAATTACTGCAACTGCATTATCCTCTGCCTAGCTATGAGCAGGACGAAAACTCCCTTCAAAGTCTGCCAATCTGTCATCTTAATTATTTCACTCTAGGAACTTAATCCTGTGCAGGATGTTTATTTGCTGGACAACTTTAGGAAGCTGTGCTTTAACTCTGGATAAATTTGACAAAGTTCTAAAATGTGAAATTCATTAATGGGAATCCTTCCCCACCTTTTAATTATAGTAGCGTGTGCACAGCAATCTGCCTAAAACTTGGAGCTGTATACCAGCCCTTAGCATCTTCTCCCTCAAGCCCCTTCATCCCAACTCTGAGCAGAACACTACTTTCCACAGATGTTTAGTTTGCAGACTAGTAGATTATAGCATCTTGCCTGACAGTAAAGCCATTTGTCATTATGATCAAGTTAATAGTTATTACTACTTAACTATGCTATAGTCATTTTGTGTAGATACACGGTATTAACCAGTTTTCATAGCTACAACAGACAGAACACTTGCAGACGTCAGGGTCTCCTGAGAGTTCAGAGCCAAGAGAAAACTACTTGTGAAAAGGTGATGGGATAGATAGGAAGAGATCGTGATGTACAGCATTAGATGTGCAGAGATAGTCAAGTATATTTCACAGCTTGCAGAAAGCATATTATCTGTTTGAAGTTCCATCTTCAAAAGCCTAAGCAATATTTACCTTGTTTTCCCTTGTTCATTAAAGTGTTCTATTCCCTGTCAGAAGTGATTTATGGACTCTGTTGTATCACTAGATCTCATTACTAACACTTCCTAGTAAGAGGGATGAGAAGTCTTATCAGTAGAACACTGTACAGTAGCTGTGCACCACAGGAGGAACACAGTGCTGGAGCACGTCTACACTGCAGTCTCAAGGTGCCTGCAGTTTGCGTGGCAGAGATCGAAGACTGCTGGTGGGACGCTGAGGACTTGGACCTCTGAAGGGCCGTCCGTACCGACCTGTGCTGCTGCTCTTCCAATGGCTCTCTTGCTAGCTCAGGCCTGTC